TAACTTTCGTTGTCCGTGAAAAAAAATCTCATTTCCTGAAGGTAAATTAAAATCCGTTTATTTCATTTATGATCATTTTCTTACATTTATTTTTAAAATATCTGTTTTTACGTGTAAATCGATTAAAAAAAAATAAAACAAATAAAAATTAATTAATTTATTTTTATTAATTTTTTTTTTATGTAATCTCTTCCATTTCTTTTAAAAGATTCTGTGTTTATATATACACGTAAATAAAAAGAAAAAAATAACAAGATAAAAATCGTCTAATTCATTTTGATTGATTTTGATCGAATATATATTTAAGACAATAATGTGCAAGCATAAAATTAGAAATTAATCAGAATCTTGGAAATAATTTTCTTTCTTCCGTCCTTTCTTCTTTTTCTCTATTTTTATTTTCGGATAACACGAAGATTCAAAACATTCTGTCGTGGACTTTAATGGTCGATTTCGTTGTGGTATTCGAACGGCCAGTGAACGGACTCACGAACGTCCTTGGGAGGTTAACCTCGATGCACGGATGATTGCATAACTTGAAACGAATCAAGTATGGAATAGTTTTCGTCCCGTTCTTAATCATTTTCTCGCGAAAGCTAGAACCTTCGAAAAAGATCCACCCTAGATTGAAATGATTTGTAGTAATTGATAATCAATAAAAAGAATATATAATAACATAATTAGAGATTTTCAGAGTAAGTTGCATTATTAATTTAACGTTTTCGAGTAACAATAATCGTTCCGTTGGAAATGTGTTCCAAGTAAAAATTATTTTCTTTTTTTGTAATTATCGTGATTAATGTAATTAAGTTTGTTGAGTAATTTTGTTCTTTATTCTTTTATACCGTCGCGACCTATATTTCTGAACAAATTACTTGAGCAGATAGTTGTTATGAACCGACTTTAACTAAAGCCACAGTTAGGTGTAGGCTTTGCTCATATCTCCGTTCTGTTTCAGAGAACACGATCGCAACACATGGTGCTTAGAAATATATCGAGCAAAGCTAGTTTGCTACGATACATCATTCGAATGACTTTTTCACGCCATATGGCCGATTAAATCGTTAAATTGCAAACTCATGTTAGCAGAAAGAACAACGAAAGAATATCGAGAATTCCTATTGGTGTTAAACATGATTAGAGTTATCGAGAACAAGTTAAACATACCAACGTCACAGACGTATTTGTTTTAATGTGTGTACGTTTATATACATACGCGTATATGTTATAAAAATCTAAAATATATACATGAATGATATCGAATCGTTGGAAATGAAAAAAAAAATGAATATTTAATAAAACGTTATCAATAAATCGAAAACATTCGAGCAACACTTATTCTGAGAACTTTCCTTTTAATCTGGGACGAGTCCGTTTATTTGTACCGACGAAATTGCAAAAAAGGTTCCTTATCCTCTTAGACGATCGATTTTAATTATACCGATGAAATAAAAACAAAAACAAAACACGATATACTTATTAATGTCTAAAGTAAACAAATTTTTTAGTTATTTTATCGAGTTAAATAAATGAATATTCATAGTTTCATAAATGAAATCTGTCGTTAGCAATAAAAGATTTTTACCGGTACAGTAGAAAAAATGAGCCAATGTGAATAAAAAACATTTTTGTTAGTAAAAATTACTTTTTTTATAATAATTAGAGTTAATTATAACCATTTTTATTATTTTCCAAAAAAAATAACTACGCATTTTATTCCGCAATTTTAGCATATTCATAAAAAATTCTTTCGCACTCAAACGGTTAAATACCAAAAAAGTATGACAACTATCGCAGGAAAGGAAATAGATTATTCTTTATCGTAACGGAACTCATTGATAACAAGGCTAACGATCTTTTAGATTTTAAAGGAAGGACGACTACAGATTTGTCAGAAGTTTATTTTATTTTTCTTCGTATGTCATTTTTTTCCAAAAAGCAAATCGTTGACACGTCGGTCTTTGATATTTCAATGAAATAAAAAAGTAATGAAAAAGGAGAAAGCAAGAAAGATTTTTTTTTAATTACGAATAGAAAAGCTTTGACAAAGTAGGAAAGTTTCGAATCAAGCCGCAAAGACAGCACACACAGAAGAGAAATGAAGACTTGTTATTAACAACAATACTACCGTGAGATTTACAATCGTCTAATTTTCGAGTATAATGTGAGAAAGGGAAAGAGAAGAGTAATAATGTCGCGTGTAAGTTGTGTGTCAGTCAAATAACAGTAGTAGGTGGTTCATTTTGAAAAAGAAGAAACGTAGTTGAGATTGATTGGCACGATGCAAGTCAAAGCGAGAAAGTTAAACAATACTACTACCTCTTATCATTTCCATTGTGTTTCTCACATCTTTTTCCCTTTCCCCCTTTTCTTTACCAATCTTTCCTCTATTGTTTAATCGAAGGACCAGGTGTGCTTTCTTTTGATCTAGATTTCTACCCTAATATCTGAAAAAATGAGAAAGAAAAGATCGTATCTTGTGGCAATGTGTTATTTTGATTAAAAATAAATAATAAGAAGTAAAACGAAAGAAAAATAGTTGGAAGTGATGTAAACAAGATAGAAAGAAAATGATAAAACTCCTTTCATTATTCTCACAGGGAATCCAATGTCTAATAGATTTACTTTGCCAAACTCTGATTACCCTGTTATCTTCCTGGCAGACCATAATTCTCTCGTTAACTTCTAATGAGATCCAATCTGTATCGCAAGAGAGAAAGAGAGAGAGAGATAGAGACCCTTCCAATCCCTTCCAATCGATTTGAACATGAGCAATTGCCCTTTAACCGCGAAACTCGTTTACTACTCGTTCGTTCAAGGATTCTGGTTACATCTTAAAAAATTTCTTTACAAGTTGTCCTCACGAGTCACCAATCATTATATCCTTTCCAATACCATCTATAGGAATAACTTGATAGACTACCAAATAAATTTTACTTGTATTTACTTTATAAATTCGTATAATATTAAAAATAATTTCTTTTTTTAAATCAAAACAAGTGTAAATCCTTTTTTATTGAACCTTATCAAAGTCTATAAAATCTAACTTAATAATAGTCATATTTTGAAATTTATTTGAATATAATCTTACGACATATAAATAAGTTCTATAAATAATCTCAATCGTATGTAAATCTCCTGTATACTTGAATAATATCGCTTTGAGGTAAATCGCTTAACATTTACGTGAGATTAAAGTCAATAAGATCAACTTGAAGAATAACTATACAGTTGAGATATTCGGTCGCCAAAAGAATATATTCGTATGTATATGTATCGTATAAAAGAATACGCAAGTATATGAATTCACTAGTTTCGTATTCTTTACGAGACATTAAACAGTCTAAAAACAGCCTATGTCCAGACTCATGAGTTCGTTGTCATTTCTGAGTGACAGAAAGAAGAGAAAGAGAGAGAGAGAGAGAGAGAAAAAAGAAAAGAGAGATGCTGTTATGAAAAGTACATGAGAAGATCACAAAGCGAAGAACATTGCCTCGTTTTATGGTAATTTCGTGAGATTATCGAAAGGGAAAGTATGAAAGCTGTAGAAAAGAAGATAGAGAAAGAAAAAAAAAAGAAAGAAAGAGAGAGAGAGATGATAGACCCTTGGTTAGACGTTAGAAAGGCGATACACTATCGTCGTAGATCCTAACAACCAACGGACGTAAGTAATAAATTTTATTGAGCTGATAAATTGTCGCTCGCTTCGAGGAGGAAGAGGCGACGTTCAGTCCACTTCGTTTTAATGGCCAATTGTCGGGACACAACGGAGAATTGCTCAAGTGCGTGTCCTAAGTAAATAATAAAATCGTTTTAGAGAATGGCAGGGACCCGTGCCGAGAATGCTAGATAAAGAGAGAAGAGAGAATGTAAAAGAGAGAGGAAAGAAGATAAAGATAAGAAATCATCTGGTTGGTCTGTCAGACGATCAAATTCTCTGAGAAAAAAAGTCAAATGATTTTTTTTGGACGCCTACGAACAACCCTCACATTGTTAAATTCCTCCCTTTCTTTCTCTTTCTTTTTTTCTCTTTCCCTGTCTCTTAATTTTGGTAATCTTTAAACTGGTATAGTCGTTACTCTTCGAAGTATCTTAACAATGCTTTAAAAGTTATCATCGATGGAATTTTTTTAGGTCTCTGGTAAGAAGACTTTAACAATATCACAGTCACGGTTAGCACATTTCTCGGATGATAATAGCGTGACTTAGATATCTGAAAAGTCACGATTTTATTTTGAAATTACTGCAATTTCGACGGTGCACTTGACCTAGTTCAAAAGTCCTTCGGATTTCCTAGCTCTAACATAAGTTTTATCGAGGTATGATCTTTTAAAGGTATCTACATTTTCTCCGATAGATATACGTATACGACTTTTAATAAAAAACGATTTATTAGCTCGATATTCATTCGTTTTAACGATTAAAAATGTTACTTTGTTATCGTAGCTTAAGCTTTGTTACGATTAAACATGAAAAGAAAAAAAAAAGATAAAATTATTACTGCGAGATGAGTTATTTCAATGGTTTTTTGGAAAAAGAAACGAACCAAAAAAAGAAAAAAGAAAAAAGGGAAAAAATCCTAACGTTTCGTTTACTTTTGATAAAGATTTTTTTTTATCTTTTTTTTTTCTTCAAATGAAACCTTTATAATCTCAGTAAATAGAAAGGACAAGAGTGTTCACGGTATACCGTAGATATATACAAAATCCAGAAATAAAATCATTTCTTAAAACGGGCTTTAAAAAGAAAAACTTTTTCGAAGGTTTACCTCAAGTTTTCGCGAGACACATCCTTCGTGTTCTCCGAGATAAAAGCTTCATGGTGTCGCAGAACGACAAGAGACTTTTCACAAGAGTCTATCTCTCACTTTTTCTTTTTTCCAGTTTTATCAAGCCAAAGAATATCGTCCTGTGATCGTCAGTTTCTCAAAGAATTGTCGAAAAAAAAAGAAAAAGAAAAAAATCAAGCAATTGGAATCTTTTTGTTTTTAACACCAATGATAAGAATAGTATCATTATTATTATTAATGTTATTATTATATCATTTCTACAAACGAAAAGAAACAAATCGAATTAACAAGATAATTCGATAGAATAGAAATATATTCCAGATGAAATTTCGTAAAAGCACGTCCAGGTCCAGTCCTAAAATGGAATTATTGTCGAGACGATCTACAACGAACGACGGCAAGATGTCGACGTTGAAAAGATCAAGATCATTTCGTGCTTCGGTTAAATTAATATCGAAGATTCGAAATCGTGCGGCATTCAAATTTACCACGAGTATCGAACATTCGCCAATGTCATCGAAAGATTATTGTAAAACGACTCGATCGTTTTCCTCGAAAGATTCCAATAAAATACAACAAGAGGAAGTAGAAGAACAACAACAACGACAAGAAGAATCATCAAGGATATGTGTTAATTCGAAAAATAACGAAAAGAAAGAAAAGTCGATTTGTAATAAAAAAGGTACGAAAAAGTACGAGGACATTTGTCAGGAGGATGGTCGAACGTTGTCAGAAACTAATTCGTCGATCGGAGTAGTAGAATCTTGCGGTATTACGAAGGATTTTGAGAAAAAGCTTTCTCTCGGGGATAAGATAAACGTGAAAAATCGAAAATGTCTAGAAAAATCTTGCGAAAGAAGAAGAAGGATCGAGGAAGAAACGAAATCGCCAAAGGTCGTACGTATTTTTCATCGAAAAATAATAGCCGATGATAGAACAAAAAAGAGTAACGATCAAGAATCTAAGGTTAAGGAAAGGATAGAAAGTGACAAACGCGGTTACGAAAATCCGATGTTCTCTTTGGACAGTTCCCTTGATTCGAGCTTTGCTTCTGTTCAAACGTATTTGAAAAACGAGGAACATTTAACACGTGAAAAATGTTTCGAACGTATAATAGAAAAAACTAATATCCGAGATAAGGAAGAGGAGGAGGTGGAGGAGGAAGATCAACAGCAACAGCAGCAACAGCAGCAAAGACTCTCTATGTCGTTACTTTCTTGCAAATCTGATCTCAAGTATGTTAGAAGTTTCAGTATGAAAGAGGAAAGAAGTTTCGATAGAGATAAAAGTCCTGGAAATAAAAGAAACGATCGTCCAAGAACGAATTTTTATTCCGAAACCGAAATCAATAGTTCGCCGAGATTGAGGGATAAATATCTTTGTGAATTTGTATCGTCCGTTGATGGTAGCACGGAAAGTGTTTGTTCGTCCAAATCGTGCAAAAATCGGACCGTAGATAATTTGACTAATTTTTGGACTAATGCTCGCGGTGGAAGTTTTCGAAGCAAGATGTCTACAAGTAAAAAGAAACTTGGAAAGGAGTCGAAGGATCTAGAATCGATCGGGCAGGATCGAGTTCTCGTCACGACCACTTCCGGATCAAGTACGCTAGACCGCACGAAAGCTTTTCATTAGTAGCGATACGTTACCATCGTTTAATTGCTTTCTCACGTAAAATCGATTTCCACGATAGGCAATATGAACACTCGCGAAACTCTTTGTTCTTTTAAATAATATTTTTTTAAGACAGATTTGAAATAATTGCCAAAAATACGTATCTCTCGATCAATGAAAAATCGTTCTCGTTGAAAATTTTTATTCTTTATCTTGTCAATCATATTCTATATTGTTTTGTTTATTTTTATTTTCGAAAAAAAAGGAAAAAAATGAAGATATCTTTTTAATTGTTTTTCGCGTTAAGGTGCGATTTCATGCTAACGCTTGACGCTAGCTTTGAACGTCAAATTTGACCACATTATATAATTTCAATTGAAGTGTCATCTAGATAAGAAGCAGCGTCAAATCTGAGCGTCAAACTGTAGCGTCAAGCGACATTGACGAATAAAAATAGCGTTTTGCAAGTAACAAAAATCGAAAGTTGACTTATCGATTTATATTATTCCCTAACATATTCGGATCAACAACACAGTTAAATTAACTGTGCAAAAATAATAATTTATAAAATACTTGTTACTTGGCATATTAAAATATTTATTTATATTTTTATGAGTATCAATAGGTTAGAATGTAGTATTTAATTTTTTACAAAGCAAAAAATGATTTGTTTAATTTATATGAAACAGAGAATTGTTATAGGTATTACCTCTTCAAAATCTGTAATATGATAATGAATATTATATATGAATATTATAATATTTCATAAATAATTATTTTAAAAAACGTAATCGATGTAATCGTAATTATAATCGTAATTATAATTGTAATCGTTTTTAGCGTCAAGTAAATGATACCAGCGTTAATTAATTTAAAGCTCAGATATTTTCAGCTTTATCGCTGCTTCTTATCTAGATGGCACTTCAATTGAAATTATATAATGTGGTCAAATTTGACGCTCAAAGCAAGCGTCAAGCGTTAGCATGAAATCGCACCTTTAGAAATAATTTTGTATTATTATATTTTATGAAGAAGAATAAGATCGTTTTAATCTTTATGAATTTAAAATTAATTAAAATTTTTGTTTGCTTGTTCATCTCTTTACAGAGATTCGTAACTTTGAATATTATTTTCTTTCGTTTTTTTCTTCGTTTATTTATTCTTTGTCTTAAGTCTTATTTGTTTTTCTTCTTTAATTATACATTTTTGTTCTTCTTTTTTTTTTCTTTATTTTTATTTATATAGAACTACAATCGCTACAAGGGATGGAGTTCTTGGAAGGGTTTGGAAAAAAGAAGCAACAGCCACAGCAACAACATTCAAATAATCTATCGTCGATTCATATTAATCCTCTCTCGGCCCAATCCCTCAACATACATTTGCATGGTATATTATTTACAAATTTTTTTCTTTATCTTTAAAACGTAAGACTGATTTTTTTTCTCATTAATGTATTTTTTATTTAAATGTTTATCCCATGACTATGAAGCTTTATCCGGACAGATTACGTATTTTCAAAATATATATTATCAAACATAATATTTAATTATTTATTATTCACACATGTCTTCCCTTATAATAACATTTTTGATTTTATTTGCAGCTCTTTTCGCAGCCGTCGAACATGGTCATTTGGATAAGGCCAGAACTATTTTGGAGTCGACCGATGTTGACGTGAACAGGTCAGAAAATTTATACAACTTTTATATTAACTTCAACATACAAAAAGTACTACGAATAGGTCAATAATAAACTGATTCACTTATTATCACAAATAATAAAGAAAGAAAAACATACTTTTCGTTAAATTATTGTGTTTTTTTTTCTTAATATGAAAAAACCTAACACCATCGTACAAACAAAATTGAAATACAAAAATATTATTCAGAAACATTATTCGTCGTATCGAAAGTTAATGCATAACATATGAGATGAACTTTAGATACAACAACACACAAGACAGTAAACCGATACATTATTTGTCAACGATACGTTGCTTCACTTAAACTGCGAGTTTCTCAAAAGTAATTTTCCGTTGGGTTGGAATGTTTCCAAGAAAAAAAAACAGAGAGAAAGAGAATGAGTTTATAAAAGTGAAGATTTTTAACAAAGTATTTATAAAAACTTTTCTAGTTTCGATATCGAAAATGATTCAAACTTTGAAATTGTTCAATCCTTTGAACAATTTCAACTCAAATCGTTCAAAGGATTGAACTATTTCAATTTCTTCTTGGTAGCTGTCTGCACCATATGGGATAGATCAAAAAAATTTGTTTACAAAATACTGACCAACACTTAACGTTTCAATATAATATTTTTTATTTTTGTTCTTTAACATTTAGATTAACACTTTAATAATATTGTACGATAAAATAAAACAAGTTCTGATCGAAAGTTATTAAAATAAAGGTAATTACACGTTATGACACAACTTTTCATACGAAAGATGCAAAATTTTGATCTAATTTAGTAGGTCAAACGTGTCCTGAGTAATGAGTTAATTATCCTAATACTTTTGTAGTCGTTTTTTTTACTCTCTCTCTTTTTTTCTTCTTCTTCTTTCATCATCAAAATTGGCGAGCTAAACGTCGTGAAAGCTTTCCTCGGTTGTATAAATCTACTAGAAATCCATTCTAATTCAAAATTCACCGATCTTGCCTATTTCCTGGCAAAGCAATCGTTTCGCTCTCTCGCACTTCAATGCAATTCACTTTCGTTGAATTCTCTCTATGACACAGACAAAGAACGATAATAGTTAGTGCAGTATATAGATGGATGGCATGTATGTGTATAGTAAACGGATTACCGTTTGCACTGAATCGACTACGAACATGTTCATGTGAGAGTAGGCAAGTGAGTAAGCACGCTTCTAACAGATACTACGGATATTCTATAGAACACTTACACTGCACCTGATCAAACGATCAAAAGATCTAATTACTGTCATTGGTGAATGATACGAAAAGCGTATCGATATCGATCTCGAGAGCTTATAGGCCTAAGCTCTAAATAACCCTATACTGTTGCTCGTTTTAACTATGAAATAATGATATTTCTTTCGGAATTGTGTCTCTAATAATTATAAACAAATTTTGTACATAATTAATAATAAATATTTATACGTAATTATACAATAGAAATCTCTAAATAGAGGGTGAAATGTCGATTTTATATCAGTATTATAATTATTATTATTATTGTGTTGATAGAAAAATAAATGTGATATTATATTCTGTAAGGGAATAGATTAAAGAATTTGCAGAGAAAATATTGAATGGTATTATTCTCATTTATCATAGGAAGAAGAGTATTTCTCTTTTCATTTTCATTCATTTTGTTTATTTCTTTCATGCTTTCAGTGTAAACAGCGACGGTTTATCGCCATTGGACGTCGCAGTACTCAGTAATAACAGACCGTTGGCAAAAATGTTGGTCACGTTCGGTGCTCAGGAAGGCAACCAATGTAAGTAGAACTAAAATCAATCAGAACGTCATTTTCCACGTGGTTACTGCTTCGAAACGAGTTCGCGTTATTCACTGACTCGTAGAAACGCATCCGTTCTGGGAATGAACTTTTCTGGATTATCGTAGAACATAATACAAGATCGGTCAAAAAAAAAAAAAGAAAAACAACCACGGATAAAAAAATCAATTGACAATTGTATAAATTATTACTTTAATAAATATGAATATTTTCTGAATTGGACAAAATTTATTTATTAACAAAACAAATAAGAAAAAGTCACAAGAGAAAATTAAAAAGAAAAAAAAAGGAGAAAATTAAAAAGATGTGTCAATGAGGCTCGCAATGTTACCCATTGCGCTCCTATTTTGTGTTGTTTGATAAATTTGAAAAGGTTGGAAAAGAAAAAAAAATAGACTAACAAAATACGATACAGTTTTTCAATTAGATTTTCGTGACTGGCAATAAAAATGGTTGCAAGGGATATTGAGTTTCGACGAAAACGATAACGTAAACGACGAAAAAGAGAGAGAGAGAGAAAGAGAAGAAAGTAAAATAAAACAAAAAAGAATGAAAAGAAATGTATTAAACGTTTGAATTCAAACTGTACATTGCGACTAGAGGCACTTTTTTTTCTCGTTGCTATAAACGATCTTTGCTTTAGTTGTCTTTTTCTACGCATACTATTCTCTCTCACTTGTTCTCTTTTCTATTTTTCTCTTTTTCTTCTTGTTCTCTTTTTCGATATCGATTTCGATTTCAATCTTTGTACGTGAAAAACTTTTTTAAAGTATTGTTGAGTTTATAGAACAATCAAAAAATAATCCATTTGATCCGAATTCATCCGAAAAAATAAAAAAAAGACAAAAACACGATTACAATCTTGTTCATTTTCTTCGTCAAACTTTACAATTATCATTAACCAAATAATAATAATTAAAAATTATATAAAATAAAAGAAAATAATTCTTAATTACTCTAAATTCGAAAATTGAAAGTTATTATTAAACTATAAATTCTAAGAGATAACAATCTTTGTCTTATATTATTATCGTTGAAAAAAGAAAGAAATAATATAACTATACCGTAAATACGAATAAACGATATATCTGAGAAAATTGATACAAAATTGTATAACTACGTATCATTAAACGCGAGACAGGAAACTTTTACCATGAAATTGCGTAAGGAAGTTAACGAGACAAGGAGATGTACGATTTCAGGCAAGAAAAATAGTCTCTTCTGATGAATAGTCGTCTAAGGATAAGGTGTACGTACTGTAAAATAAATTAGCAACGTGATCTTCATTTATTCGAAGCTATTCCAGATTTTCGTATCTTATTTTATTTTCTTCTATACTTTAGAACTTTTTTTTATTATTTTCATCATTAATCTCATATTCCGTATAACATAATCTCAAAAGAACTGTAACATAAATATTTACATTTACATTTTTATTTAAAACTGTTTATTTTAAGTTCTTAATTGTGCCCGTAATTATGAAAGTGGTCTAAGTCAAAATAAAAAAAAGTGAGTTTATTAGTTATTACGCACCACATTATTTTAAACTAAATAAATTCAATGTAATTTTCACGATATTGTAAAAAATGAGTCGTTAGATAATGTTTGTTTTTTCAATATTACATAGAATTCATACAGTGTTCAAATATAAATCTTTAAATATCTCGAAACAAGAGATACATGACTTAGACCACTTTCTTAATTATGTGCACAATTTTAATCTTAAAATGTTCACATCAAATAGTAACTGCAATTAACTACACAATTTGATAATAAAAATCTAAAAATAAAATATTCAGCACACTTCCCCTTCGTATTTCCAGGTAACAAAGTGCAACAGTGGGGAAACGTATCGTTAACACGAGAAGTGCTACGATATAGTACAATTTTCTATCGATTCGATTCTCTGGCACGATAACACCGTAAAATTGACAATAATCAGTTTCGTCACTTCATTGATCCTAAATGAAGCCGATCCTTTGCACCGTAGTCTCGTCGTTCTTGTAATTAGAAATCCCGTTGATATGCTAAAACGTTGATACTATACGACAACGTGTTTCTATTACGTATATCTAAAACATGACTCATACGTAACTAATTATTATGAAACTAAACCAATTATATTACGATTTACTTTTAATTTTTTTTTAATACTGTTACGTTCAAGTATTGTTCTTTTTTAAAAAAAAATCGTGAACAATTTTTATGATCATTTTTACAGTTACGAAATCGAAATAAGTAAAAATATTACCTCTCTTCCTATCATTTTATGTGAACAGAAATGATCTATAAACGAACTGTTATTTCTCTTTTCGTTCTTAATTTCACCCATCGTACTCGTAAAAGTATGAAATTATTACCATCACGATTTATCGTCGTAGGGACTAAAAAGTACCACGGTGTAAGTCTTTTTATTTTTTTTTTGTATTTTTATTGCTATACCATTTTGGTTAGATCAATGAGATGGAATCGTGCTCTTTTATAACGTTTATTAGTTGGCGTGTTATGATGGAATCTCCCGTTCGTCGAGATCGAGCGCGTTATAGTTCGTGGATTTATATTGCTCACCCAGTACGTAATACACACATATATATGTTTATATATCTGATGTACGTGCGTATATTATAGTGACGTATAGATTGCAGCTATGATAATCCCCAGTAAAATTTACATTTAAAACGTGTTCATCCTTACACACGAAACATCATTGTTTAATTAAACTCAACTAATTACTATATTTACATATCGTTATAATTTAAGATTTTTCTTAGAAAAAATTATTTTAAAAAAAAAGATACAAAAAAATAAAAATATAAGTATTAATTTTACATTTGGAATTACGAAAAAAGTTACAATTGTAATTTAAAATGTTATAAAAACTAAACAAATGTACACTACAATGTAGGGACACGAACTAAAATTCGATTTACGAATTATGAAGTACATTTTGTGTACTGTCAAGTCAAACAGAGAAACTCTATTAATTACCCATAATGATTTCGTACCGAAATAACAAGTATTTCGTGTGTAACCATGTTGTTCATGTCGAAATTAGGAAATTCTCTTTGCTTCTTATAATAGAATGCATTGTAATAGTAATAGTAATGGTAATAGTAATAACAATAATAGTAGTAAGAGAAGTAATAGTGATAATAACTAATATTTTAAATCAAAGGCGTTTAATTGTCCATTTAATGTCCCATCTTGTACTAATATTGTAAAAGCAGCTATAATAACGTTCCTGTTCTCTGGGTGCTCTTATACGGCTAATTCCATTGTTACCATGATGAAGTATCGCATTAGTAACAAATAATAAGTAATTAAAAAAAATGTTGATCTAACAGCATAATTGAAGAATGCATTGCATTATCGATTTGCAAATTAATATATTATATATTTATAAATTCTCCATAAATAAAAACCCGCGTTTATTCTTTTACTAATTGTAAATGATCATTATTTTCTACTTTTTTCGAAATTCTAGATATAATTTAATATAATAAGAACGATAGTGAAAATAGTAGAAAAAAAAGAAATTATATAACTATATTAGAAACGATATCTTTTTTTCCTGATTTTGTTTGATTTCAAGAAAAAGAGCATCCGATAATTGAGTGTTTTATTAATTGGTACGATAATTAGAACTTTTGTAGAGCATTGGTATTATTTGAGAAAAATTTCGATCTAACGAGTATAGTATATAATATCAAATTTTATAATATACACTTATAGAGTCTTGTATTCGTCGTTAAATATGATTATTAAAAAAATACTTTCAAACGTAATCATTTATTATTAGTTTATTGTCCATATTTTAATATTTAAAATTATACTTTCATTTCTGGTCGTGAACAAATACGACAGCGTGACCATAGTAAACGGAGAAGCGGTAAATGGACCTTGTTATTCTATTGTCATTAGTGAACGTCCTTGAATATTACGATCCCCACCTAAGTCGCATACCATATACCTGCTCATTATTTCCGTATTGCTCTCACGTGTATCAGACTGTAGATATATTCGCGATAACAGAACGACGCGTTAAATTCACCGTCCCTCATCTTCGAGGAATCCGTAGTTCGTATAATATCCGTTCATGATTCATGCTGGCATCAAAATCTCTGACATTGAACCTTAATGTTTCCCTTTTAAAGAGAACATAATTCATCTTTCTGCTTTATTACTATTAAAAAAAATTATCAGTTAAAAATATTTATTCAATATATAATCAATTGTGTTCATTATTTTTCCTTTTTTAACTTGAAAGAATATTAATATCTCTTATAAAAAATTATACCATAATAAAATGTAACGTATCGGATCAGAAAAGGAAAGAGTATTTCTTGTTTCTCATTTTTAACAATACAGTATCTTTATTTGCAGTTAAGTCACCGGAGTCCTTGGGCAGTCATTTGGCGTCGTTATTGTTGGAAGCAGAACACAGAGTCCAAGAACTCGGTGGCAGCACTTCCGGCAGCGGTGGGAGTACTCTTTTGGAACCACCAAGCAGCCACAGAGCCAGTTTCTCGACGCAGCATAATAATCTTACAGGATGCGGAGGTAGCACTGAGGACAAGCAACTGGCCCTCTGGGAGAGGAGAGCACGAGCACTAAGAAAGATGTTACTAGGTTTTGATCAAGCAAGTACGTTATTTTTTTAGTTATTCTATTTCTTTTTTATTAAATTTTATATTTATACAAATAGCTTGAAACATCTTCAATAAATTTTTAGAACACAAGTAGGTTTTTTTTAGTTATTCTATTTTTTTTAATTAAATTTTATATTTAAACATAGCTTTAAGAATCTTCAATAAATTCAAAAGAAAATTGTAATTACTTTTTATTCGTTACTTTAAATTAAAAAAAATATATTAGAATGATGCAAAAATATTTGATTTATTCATCATAACAGGACCACCGGACATGCCTTTCATGGTCGCAATCGATGTTACCGGAACGACCTCCGTGACAGTTAGATTTCAAGAACCAGATTCACATGATTCTCCAATTTGTACGAAATTCAAGGTTCAATGGAGTCTCAAAGAGGATTTTTCTACAATATGCGGGGATAGAGAGGTTTTGGATATGAAGCAAAGGGAATGTCGTATCGACGAGCTTATACAAGGACAAAAATATTATTTCCGCGCGGCAGCTGGAAATTTAAAAGGCTATAGCAGATTTAGAAATTCAACTCCCGCTTATGTCACTCCTAGTAGTAAGTTTCGTTGCATTAATTTATTCGCAAAAGAAACATAATATTTGTAACTAATAAGTTAAACGAAAAATTCGTAAATGTGAATTTATTCATTATGTTTATAAAGGTTGGAGAGACATTGATGGCAGGGTACCAAGATTTGCAGGGCGTTTAGAACAATTGAACACCCTCTTTACCGATATCAGACGTCCGGAATACACACACGAGACACCAGCAGTTCAAAGACGCAATCATAAGAAGAAAACAACGATAAAACAACTCTTCACCGCGACTAGCAAATTTCAAAAAAATTTGCGGCGTGGCGTGTTCTTTGCTTGTTTGCTTTATCACGAGGATAAGGTGCTCGTAACCAATGAAGACTTTTTACCTGTAATCGAGGTCGATGAAACCTATCCTAGTTCTATCTATAACGATTTCCACTGGCTCATGAAAGTCGCATGCACGTGGGACGACGTCAAGACTCTACGCCAAGATATGGAAAAAAGTCACAGCAGTTCAACCAATCACTTTAGGATAAAATTGCTCCAAGCTGCTGCACAAATGCAGGTTGGTTTATATTAGTTTTCATTTTCATTTCTTTTTTTGTGTTTATTAAAAAATTTTACCAATATATTCGATTTAATTTATCTTCAGGCCGCATTGTGTACGCAAAATCTTGGACAGTTATATCATAAACCGATCAGAGACATACAAGGAACCCTTGTATTTTCGACAGTTAATTATGTAAAATCACCAAAACTCGTGTCAGTCTTAAATAGTAGGTGGCTTCCTTTGAGTAAAGTAACTAAAAAAATAATAACTCATGAAGACAGCAACGTGGCGGATATTTTGATGGCCAGTATACAAGAACAAATGACATATCACCAAGTCAGTAGTATCAAATTATCAAAGGGTTTATATCTTGGTTATTTGAAAATGCAAAGTAGCGTGGATCTTATACAAGTGGTTGTACCGGCTAAATCACCTAACGTCTTACCACATTGTAAAATACGTGACAACTCTCATGTATCTGCGTAAGCAATCACAACTTTGTTTTATAATATATCCTGCAAATGTATGAGAGATTTTAATGAATATAATGTATGTTTATTAGGGAAGAATGGGATTATTTGAAAAGGATAACTCGTATTTATGCGTCCGATAATTCTGTTAAAGATTCAGAGGAAAAAGAAAATGTAACGAATGAATGTCAGGGTACAGAACAGCAAAAATTATTCGTTGATTTGGTTTCCGCAACGGCACGTCGTCTCTTTAATTATATGGAAATAAGTCCAGAGGATTCTTTATTATATCGTCTTTACGATGCTGAAGTAATCGATCTCACGCACGATGTATCATTCCTAATTGCCGTACCTCCTGCAGAAATAGCTTGTTGCGTACCTGGAACTAGAGAAATTCTTTTACAAAGAGGAGACTTACTATCTTTACCTATTCAAGTATTCGAAATGGTTCACTTAAATACATACCAAAAGGATGTAATTAATCGATATTCAAGATTAAGCTGTATATTGGAATTAGACACCGCACAAGCTCAACATAATCATAGGGAAGCTTTCAGCTCTTTAGAACTAAGTGTAGCAAAAGATAAACTTGCGAGATTACAAGATATACAATCTCAAGTAAACACAGTATGGAAGGGTGCTAGATGGCTTATCGACGTCATCACTTTTGCAAGAGACCGTGGATCCGGACAACAAAGCGTAAGTCTTATAATTATTACATTATAATAAATATTCAATGTAAATTTGTAGAAGATAGAGGAATTGTAATATTCTATTTGATTTATGTTTAGGGTACACCACAGACTGTTGGTATATCCATGAAGCATCTATTAGGTTTAGACAGAAATAAAAGCAACAGCAATAGTTTAAAAAGAAGTCTTCTTCAGTTGCCACCTCGAGATCCTAAACTCGTGAAATCGAGTCCAGGACGTGGAAGTTGGCCAGGTCCAAATGTTACGAATTCTTCTTCCAATTTACTTACAACGGAATTCAGCAAAAGTGAACAACAATTACCTAGTGGTCAATACGTGTGCAAGTGTAGTCACGTTTCAACTAAGTCAGAACCTCAAATATCATCCGTACCTACAAATGTACGACTTCCACCTTCGAAATCTGAGGACACTTTATTACTTACCAAATACAAACATAGCCCTAGAAATCGTTCGGCCACCATCACTTCTGCGTCGGCAAGTACCAGTCCATTACTTAATATAAAACCGATTCTCTATGGTGGATCGCTTTTAAGCGTATCAACAGCTATGACCAACACCAACACGAGTCTTCTCAGTGTTAGTAACACGAATTCCGACAGTCTTCATTCCCTAAGCAGCGATGAATATTCAACGCCGAATTCAAGTGTATGCTTAAAACCAGGACATATAAAAGTCAAAACGACTAAATCCACCGCTAGTATAACAACCATGGCTGTTTCAGTAGGAGATAATCAATCGGAAGAAGAAAAGGATGAAGCAACAATGATGCCAGCACCGCTACCTGGTATTCTTCAGGTAATAAATTATAATATTTAATTTTTATATGGGTACTAAGTAAGAGAGCTTATAGGTAAATAGCTTATAGTTATATCTAGTATATCCATAGTTACAAATAAAAACACATTGTTTTTTTTTACCAAAGGTAGTATAAAATTAATTACCGTTAATTTCTATAGTAAAGTAAGCGATTTTATGTGTTGCACACATGGAAAATAAATATAATAATTCTTTAAATTTAGATTTAAAAAAAAGCTTCGTATTATAGGATACTATGCTTAATTGAACTTCAGTTGGAAGCTTCTCTTTTAGACATGCAACAGTGCATTTAAATATTGTTTTTCCTTATAGGGAACGCAAGTCTAACCCGATTATAGTTAAAAACAGCTCACTTGGTCTTCTAGTGCAAACCAATGTAGCAGATACATAAGTAAGCCGCTACATCGCAAAATTTAATTACTTTGTGCAGTCTTGCTTCTAAAAAATTAATTAATGTATTAATAAGTATAGCATGAGACATCTACTGTTTGTTGCTTTATCATCTCAAGGCAGATGTGGAATTCAACAGCATCGTATAGCTCACATTATACGTTACAGCTATTTTTTTATCTGAAAATGTAATTTAAGCGCTTATGTAATTGCTTTCTGTTTTTTTCGACATATGTATTAATACATTCTTATAGCAGAATATAAACTACGAAATTGCATTTTTATACGAATAATCTAGCGCTTTATTGTAATGCCGCAAATATATATATTTAAAGAATAAAATCTTTTTTAGGAATTTGTATTGTAAAATCGATATTATAAAGTAATAACAAATATTGTTGTATATAAGAAGGATTTTGCCAAGACTGTGCATATTGCTTTTATAACAAAGTTTATGTTTAGTCAATGTAAATGAAGTAAACATTGAGTAACTTACATTATAAAAACGTATATAATGTTGAAAGTAATGCTGCAAGAAAAATGTATATCTATATAACTACTATAATATAATTTGATTCTTTACTTATAATTTATTTGAAAAAAGAAAATATTTTCATCGTTACAGGTTTATGCAGCCTATGAAACTGGTTTGGCTTCTGGTACCAGTTTAAAATTACATGTAAATCCACGAACCACAGCAAGAGAAGTTGTGGATCTTGTTGTGAAGCAACTAAATATGGCAGTAGTCTTAAAGGGTCAAGATGGGCCTATCTACACAGTCGATGAATTACCAAATTTTTGCCTAGTTGCTGTAATTGGTGCGAGGGAACGTTGTTTAAGAGATGATTTTAAACCCCTTCAACTACAAAATCCGTGGAAGAAGGGACGTTTGTATGTCAGACAAAAGCAAGATGTTCTTGCTGCTCTCGAACACAGTAGCAAGCATACAGCCTATTTATAACAAACATCTGATTAAAATAATTAAAATTCACATGTGTAATCTTTAGTTAAGAAAATATGACACAGTGATAACTATTAATATTAAAATGAGAATGTAAAGCCACATATTGTGGATCGAATGAAAATCATCATATGACCTATAAATCAAAAGTTTCATTTTATAGGGCTTGATGTTTTTAAGGATTGCTTTTACTATTAGTATTAAAAATAATTTATTATACATAGTAAAAAATAATCAGGATAAAACTTGATTTTCTCTTTTCATATAAAATCAACTAGCTTTAGTTAGATTATTAAGTGATATTTGACGTGGAAGGGCATCGTAGATCATATTCTATAATATCCGTAATATGAAAGGTTTATTGTTGTAAGTAATTGCACTAGATGACAGTGAACTCGAATAATTTTCTTTATCTAGACTTGTACATTCCAAGTTATAAGACCGCGATCTAATGCGATCTGTAATATTCCTCGAATGTTAGTTAGTTTATAAACAAAGTTAATACTCAAAATATATTATAAACTAATATATTTTAGGTACCGATCTCAATGTTTTGTCCGATATGCGCGTCATTAGAAATGTGTCAAATATTTCGGAGATCTCATCGTTCCTAAACCTAATAGCTTTCATGTTCAACTAATAAATTTACGTAATTTTAATAAATTGCAACTAAAAATTAATTAAATATAACATAACAAAAAAGAAATGATAAAATGCCAAACTAAATTTTAAATAGCTATTTATTGATCAAATATAACAACTAAATATAATTAGCTTATATTTAGAGTATTCATTTTTTTTTTAAATATACTTTATAATTTGTTTTTGTTATTTATGAAAAAATTTTTCAAACTGATAATATACGTAAAGTTCCTAAAATTTCTTAATATTATCTGAAACAAATAAAAATATTATTGTACTGAGTTGGTTGCTGGGAACGATAGAAATATCTCTACGAGAAAGTAAAATCAATATCGGTGCTCACTTAACAAGATGATTTGCTTTTAGAGAGGATGATAAAAATGGAATGAAAGTTGTTTGCAATTGATAGTGCGTTTGTGACAAAGAGGCTTATAGACTGTGCTATAGAATAGAAACAAATTTTATTATTTTTATTTCGAATGCTATTCTACGGTAAGAAGGATAAAGTATAGGCCAATAAACATAAGTATGAAACTTAATTTGTGTGTTTTAAGTATATCTGATTTTTAAGTAAATTATATACGAAGTTCTTATTCTAATGCTGTTAATAATCTTTACGAAATTAAACAAGAAATTTATCCTAATGATGAAGTTTCGGTACATTTTTCAAAAAATATTTCAAATACGGATGTGAAATTCAATAAATAATAAAATTTTAATATATATCAAGACATTGTATTTATATCAGAAATGGGAATTCTTATTTATCTAATTATAAGCAATTATCACTTTAGATTGTATCTCAAGTGTATAATACAGTGCAATTTCTTTTAATTATCTATGCAAAACTTTAAATTGAATCTTTTCAATTATATTTTCGTAAAAAGATTAATATATATATAAATTAATTTTTGTTTATGATACATATAAGTTCTCCCACTTCTGGTCTATAAACCATATACAGTAATACTCTGATAACACAATATAACTGCACAATATTTGAGAAATCGAAAAATAACTTTTGCACACCTTCATATATATCATATTACTTCCTATATCATTTTACATTATAGCGTTACTTTTATTTTAAAATTCTAATGATCGTACACACACACGCGCGCAATTATATTTTAAAAATAAATATTAAATATTAATAAAATCCGTCCTTTGCTTATTGCATATCATATTTACTTAGAAAATACCATTTTGGATGATAAATATTTTTTATTCATTGTGCAGTATATATTGTGCACACAGGGGCCACTTATGTTTAACAAGAATGTATGATGCACATATTTTTTTATTGAAAAAAAAGAACAAAAAATCTGAGATTGTTACTATCGCATAGCTTAAGAATGTTCCACAAAGATGAAACAGTGAAAATAATTAAAACAGGATGATGCAAAACTTCATTAGCTCTGAATGTTTATTGATGTTTAATGTAAAAATAAGTATTAATAGATAGATGTTAATTATACACCGAGAGGAAGAGATAATGAAAAGATAAAAAACTATATAAGCGACAAGATGGAAGGAAAGAGAGGAAAACCAAAAAGTATGTTATGTCCAAATAAGCTATAAGAACAAAGGTTTTCCTTTATTATAAGGAAATAGAATTATAAGGAAATAGAAACAAGTAACTAAGGATATTAGACTTTGTAAATAAATTAGATTACTGAACGACTATGACGATAGGAGATGCAAACTAGCGAGATTATTTTATCTGAAAGCGTATATTTATCATGATAGCGCCTAAAAAAAATATGCGTAAGATTAAAAGTACACGCATAAACTGGTAGATGAAAAGTAAGAAGATCGCCCTCGTCCCTCGCACCAAAAATAAAAAAAAACCTATAAAAATGATAAGATTTAAAAAAAGTTTGAAAGAATGCGTAAACCAATAATATTATAATGAAATATTTAAGTAAATAACAAATTCGATGTTTGTATAGGAAATGTACTTTTTGGTTGTAACTAAATTTTCTTTCACCCCCTTTTTTTATCTCTTTTTTGATTTTTTTCTCTTACTTCTCTCCCCCTCCCCACCTCCCCCTTCATTCGCATTTCAGTCTCGACGACGGCAGTTTTGTGTAATAAGGAAAAGAGCACGAAAAAATGGAAAAAATAAAAAAAGAATAAAATGTACCATTGTATTTGAGTCATATCGTCTTTTACGCGGTCACGTCGGTACTTTTCTTTCTCTTTTATTTTTCTTTTATAGTCTTATTTCTTTTTCTTTCTCCCTCTCTCTTTCTCTCTCTCACACCACCCAGTAATTTTCCCTGACATAAGCAGAACTTGCCCGCCCTGCTGGTTAAACGAGAAACGAACCCGGACTTCCCACGACCGAGAGTCCTGCTGACCCACTTAAAACCTTGTTTCTCGTCTCATCTCGTCTCTCGTACCACCTACTCCTTATTTATTCCCGGCTCATAGCGTAATTATGCGCTCTTTTTCTTATCTTGGATTTGCCGAGAAAAGAAGCAATCGTCTTGGACGTAACGGTAAAGAATTTCTTCGAATTCTTACACTTCTTTTATTCTTCTTTTTCTTCTTCTTCTTAATTAAAAAAAAAAAAATATATATATATAAACTCCGTCCTTATAATCTTCGTAATGTATAATTATTACAAAAAATCATTTTCAATTCGTATTATTGACTTTTCAAGCATTGATTGCAACGACATTTTGTTTCTGGCACGAAGCAATTTTAAAAAGTATTATTAAAGTAATGATATCGTAAGGTATAAACACGTAAGGTCATAATATCTCTCGATGATTTTTTTTTAAATAAAATCAAAAGAATCTTTTTAGATAAAGATTTGAATTTTGAGAAGAACTGTTTCTTATGATTTTTCAAATATATAATTATCAATTATTTAGACATTATACTGTGCGTATGTATGTTTGTAACATCGACAGAAATTTAAAAACCTTTATTTTAGGTATGCGAATATGAACGAAAGAAAATAATTACAGTTCGTCTCAATATAATCAGTATAATTAGATTCTATTGCTTTTGTTTTTTTTTTTGACATATTCCTATGTTTTTTGTCATGTATTAAGTGACAATGTTACGCCATTGCGGAAGACCAACATCAATTCGGTTTTTACACGTGCATATACAGTTAATACTCATTGTCACGACGGCCCGGTCGTTGGAGCGAATACGATTGGTCGACCGGATTCGCCCTCGGCTGACCCCGTTGTTGACTGACCCACTGTCGATACTGATAGCGCAACACTATGCGGTCACCATGAAGTCAGTCCACTTTGGCATTTAATTGGATACGCTCGGGAGAAAAGAAGTGGGTCTTTTCTATACGTATACATATTATACGCACACGCACCTAAATATACAGATACATTTATATTTACCACACGACATGACTGTCCTTTGTGCCATATCATGTAAAACAATTACTTACGGACCCTTCACACGAGAACAATGGCGTCTATATACGATTCGTAGTTACCATAGCATAGAAAGACTTATCCCAAAGCCTATTGTTTGAATTTCGCTCGTAAAATTCAATTTCAAATCTACGTTCAACTCGTTTTTCAATATTTTTAAAGATACGAAATGAAAAATTCATTCGATTTAGGAAATTATAGACTTTTAATGTGAATTTTAATTATTCAGTCTTCTTATTTCTTAATACTTTTAAATTTGAATATATGAAAACGCCTCTTCGTAATATGGATTACACGATGCGTGTTACAACATGTTGATATCGTCATTCGAGTCATTTATCTAGACCTCAGCATGGATCTAAAACCGCGATCACTGATATTTTCTGAATTAATGGCTTGTGAAAGATCGGAAGGAACACGTTTGCAAATATCCATCGATCGTTGCGTCCTAGAAAAGAAAAATTGATGAGATCATCTTATCACATGTTCTCCCAGACAAATTTGAAAAGAATATCGATCAATTTATCAATCTTACATGTGTCAACAATTCCTTTTTAAATTATATACATAAATATTTTTTCTAGTAGAACATTAAAATACTAAATTAATTATTCTGATCTATTCGACCTAAATTGTAGATGCCCACTTTAAAAAAAAATAATATGTCTTCATTGAGAATATGAATCATTACTCATTTTCTTAATATGAAAATTAATATTTAAACCATCAAATGTACTATTTCCACACAATATATTTTTTTTAAACTATTAAAATACATACATTAAATAAATACATTCTGATTAGTTCAACCTAAATATTAGACGTACACTTTAAATCTAATAAATCTTCATTGAATAATTAACCCTTTACTCATTTTCTTAATAAGAAAATGAATATTTAAACGATCAAATATATATATTATATACCAGATACTATATTAAACGATTAGATTTGAAAGAAGCATTTATTTATATGAAACGTATTTATTCGATAATTATTAACATATGAAAGAAGCTAGTTATTTCAGTTATAAATGATCGTCACGCAGTTTTGTGAGAAGCATTCGATTCGGACGATTTGATGCGGATTAATCGCCTCGGGAAATATACCAGAAGTCGAGCGAGTATTGAAAGAGGAAGAGGATTCAGGTCGCGAGTCGTGTCGTTAACGCTCGACGAAGAAGAAAAACGTATATACATATGACCATACATACATACTATATATATATGCATTTATATATATACAACGAGTTTGCGATCGCCCATAACCGTCACTGAGTATATAGACTCCATTTTACACGGATCTTTCTCTCCTCTTTTTCTTATTTTGTTCTTTCTTTGTTGTTCGCGCAGGCGCATTGCAAAAGAATTATGCAGGGCGCAAGGTCCGGCCACTCGCCGGTCGAATTTTTACCAATCGAAGGTTAGCTTTCGAAGTTCCCTCTCTCTCTCTTTTTCTATTTCTCTTTGTCTTTCTTTAACTCTTTCTCCTTTTCTCTTTCTTTGTCACCTACCATAGATGATAGACCAAAAGACTCAAACATGAGTCAGAAGTTTAAACCTAGTAGTAGAACAGACTCCCCTATCTTTCATTATTTTTCTATTGTAACACGTTTATAATTCATGAAAATTTATTAAATCTTTAATATATATTTATTAAAATACAATTTTATTAAATTTAAATACATAATTGTTTTTTCTCAATAGTTTTTAATTATACAATTAATTCTTCTTTTTTTAAACGAAAACTCTTAAAATAATTTTCATTCTTTTGGGTTTTCGAAAAGTAGAAACTATTAGTTATGTAAATAATTTAAATAAATTATTTAAATAATAAATAATGAAGTTAAAAAAAATTGTATTATCCAATGATGATTGCATTGGGATTATTCATTGGAAACGTTTTGAATATAATTGAAATAATATTGCCTCCCCTCTTGTCGCAAAGTCGATGGCTGTTGTTGTCAACAACAAGAACGACAACGACGAGGACGACGACGAAGACAACGATGACGATGACGATGAAGGAAAGAAAAAGAGGAAGAAAAGAAAAGAGAAACGAGCTGGCTCGGTGAAGCCTTACCAAGCGAGTATTTGGAAGGCCGAGGATCAGTTCGTTCAGTGCGCACCGCGGACGCGGATCACTTTGTCTTGTCCGCCATTTGTAAACTCCCGCCGTTTCTTCGCACTTATGCTTCGATCGCCATAGAATACGCGAATAGTCATAAGAAAGTAATACTCTGTTAGAAAACGAGAATCCAATTTCAACCCTTTTTACGCCAACCACGTGATATAATCAAAATACTTTGCCTTTTCAAATTGACGAGGGAAGTTTGAATATCATTTTTGAAAATAATAATATTTTAGAATTCCCAACATTAATACGATTTGTTTGGATACTGAAAGCAACCAACGAATAAAACGGAATAACGGTAAGGAAGTGAAGCTATTTTATTTTTTGAATACTTCATAAATTTATTATTAATTTATTCATTATTATTTTCTACACAAACAATTTTGATAAATGATCTTTGAGTAAATGTTATTTTATGAAGTGCGTATTAAAGAGTCAAGAAAATCGTTTAATTCAATTCATTCGACTCGTTCTGGATTAGTATTATATCTAGGTTGAAATTTATTTAACCTTGTTTCGAAAGATATTCGAGATCAAGTATACCATTCATCGTGGTTTCGTGAAATATAAAACTTCCTAATTTCTATGCTATATTCTATGAAAATTAATTTACGAGGTATACAATTGCGGATAAAGAGTCGATTAGGTTTGTACAACCTGGTTCGACGTATCTGGAATTAATAGCTGATTATTAGTACCGATAAATCACACCGTTCTTATCGTATTGCTATACTAGAATAGTTTTTTAATAACAATTTCCAACTATGAGCAAAGTGAAATTTGTATGATTTACCGTTTAAAAGAGGAACCATAAGACGAAACGATGGCAAATGAAAATTATCTTCATAACTCTATAATTTGACTTATTATATCGCGCAATAATTAGAGTCAATTAGTGGTACAAGAGACTCGAGGAATAATATAATACTAGATCTTCATCTACTTTTCTATTGTGTCAGCATAAATGTCGAATGCGCCTTTCACGATGCAACGAAATGAGATTGAAAAGTCATCATTAAATGAATGAAAATAAAAGGAAAATAATGAAACCAAAGCTTCTTACCTCCGGGGTTTCCCGGTAAACGATTTTTTTCCTTCATCTAAATACCTACTTGTGAAATTTATAGTCGTCATTCGATCTAAGGAAATATCTTGAAGTCTACTTTTTTCCCCCCCTGTAAAGTCGTTGGTGGGAAAGCTTACCTTATGTCGTCGTTAAGATAATTAACCTAAATTTTCCCGGATTTATGGTGAACGGGCATACGAATCGAAACTTTGCTTCTTACGTTAATCACCAAAAGCCTTACGTTTCTTCAACTATAAAATAATAAAAAAATAGCAAGAAAATTAGTTGGATTCAATGAAATCTATCGAAATATCAATATTTCCTTTTTCTGTTTAAAATCAAGCAAAATTATTACAGTTGATTTGAGATAAAAGAATTAATTAAATTAACTCGGAATACACGGTATAAGTAGGTTTGATATATGCATCAGAGTTCGCGTAAGATCAAATAGAAAAGCAATTAGAGTATTTTCTGTTAGACAAATAGAGAAAACGAGAGGAATAGAAAGGTCGTACCATGCGATAGAAAGTAATTATTCTTAATTAATTACGCTGGTGTGATAGTAGCTATCGATTAACTCGTCAAGGTTAATTGTACGTCGATGAAATGACGATAAGCAAAGATCGTTCAAAATTTTCTGCCCCCGACATTATACACATTCATCATGTTACCTATCACGTAGAATGGGTTGCAGCATTTCGGGCGCAGACATTTCTAACTGCTAACAATATCGATTTATTTCCTAGCTAATGGTAGATAGGATCCAATTTCAAAAACTATCCAAAGTTTTCAATGACAATATAAAAATATATATTACATAATTCTATATTACAATAATTAAATTCTATAATTAATGTAATTTTATATTTCGCAGTCGCGATTAACGAGAAAATAAACGGAAGAATAATTTTGGAAGGTGACACAAGAGATAGAAACTATGTCGGAAGGTTGCACGAGCTGCAGAGGAACGAATTATGGCAGTGGTACATTGCAGTTAGGTGGGACTTCCGGTGGCACAAGCGGAAGTCCACCATCTACGACGTCTGCTTCAAATTACGCGGCAACGAGAAGAGTTCAAGTACGTGCAAAGGTCCTTTACGGTTCGGGAAAAGCAATCGCGAGCTTGCAAGCTCGGGAAAAAGCAGCAAGACGTTGATATACAGGTAAATATAATAAATTTTATCAAATCTTTTTCTTTCTACATTCTTTTTTGTTCCACATTCCCTTCCTTTTACGTAAGTATAAAAAGATAGTTATTTTCTCCATAGAAATATAGTCTATAATAAGTAGGAGAAAGAAATATTTAGGTCAATGTATCGAATAATTTGAAGTTGTCTAGAAAGTAACGTCATCGTAAAAATGTCTTTCCGTTAATCACAATCATTCGTATATCCTCGGGAACCACCTTTTTCTCTTTCACGTTCAGATATTATCTCTCACTCGTAATAGGTTATTCAAAAAACTAGTTAATAAAAAAAAAAAGAATTTGAAGTACTATACAAACTCCATCATTTAATACTTATCTTTACCTCATTTAATCTTCCTCGTTCTCTCTCTTTCTCTCTTTCTCTTTTTCTCTCTTTCACTCATATGTCGTCATAAAAAACTTCAAACTTGAGCCCACGCGAGCGGAAACATTGCTTCGTCCTTTTCATTAGGATGAACGAAAAGATGGATGGATCGGCATCAATCGATGGGATCGCGTGTTACTTTATTGGCTAACAGTAAAAATCTTTGCAGGCAAAAAAAGAGTGAGAGAGAAATAAGGAAAAAACACAAAAAATAAAGAATGATGGAACGAACGGGGCGTAACAAAAAGCGCAAAAGTTAGCCGGAGGCGTAGGGCACTGCGGATTTCTTCGGGAATAAGACCGGTCGACCAGCTTCGAATACTGTTAGTATATGTTCAAACCGTCCTCGTGAAGGTCGACATCGACAACGAAAGACAACACAGACGAATTCTTTCTTTCGCGCGAATTTTGTCTTTTCTTTTTTTCTTTTTTTTCTATCCCTCTTTTTTTTTACTTCACTTTCCACTCGAAAAAATCTTATCGTCGAACTTAAGAGACCCTTTTACCTTTACGAAGAGGAAGTCGCTGTCATCTCCAGAAAGGATGTACCAACGGAATTGAATTTGCTACCGAGTAGTTCCTCGACGATTCGACATGCATCTCAGAATTGTGTGAGTTTACGCGAACGAAGTATTACATAATTTCATTCGTTTTTCTTTTGTTTTTTTGTTATCATTAATTTCAATATTATTACAATTGTTATTAGTCATTATCAATATCGTAAATATATGTAAGTAAACAAAAAAAATAGTCTTGTTAATATATATGTATTTTCTTACTTTAATTTGGTCTTTTTAAAGATCGAATTAAAACGATTAATAGATCGAATGGCTCCTCATTATTTTCATTATTAATAAATTCTTCCTTGACACGAATACGAAAGTTAATATGATTTCTTTTTTATATCGCCTATGGCATCTTACAATTGACGATCCCGTTACGTTTCTCATTCCTAACGAATGATCAGTTCATCATATTTGTAACATTATTTCTATCCTATCTATTTCAAAATGAATATTTGTTCTATTTTCTTTTGCTAATCAAAATTGAAGAAATACTTTGATCTCTTTTTTTTATTACATTTTCAGAGTCGTTTTCGTTACTTTCTTCTGGACCGTACGATCTCAACCGGAAGAAAGCACTCCTATTATTTACTCTGCAATAAATTATACAAAAGAAATATTTACGAATGTAGAATTTAACTATTCTACCACGCAAACTACTATAGCAGAGCAGAAAAACTTTAGAGAAAATCAAACGAATTTCAAAAGAAACTTTAATAACAACGAGGAAACGAGTAAATACGAAACCGAAACTTTCGAAATTGTCGGAAAATATGATTCGAAAAACTATAGTAATCATTCTACAAATAATATTACAACTTACGAACTCGAGAGTCGTGATAATCAAGGAAACTGGGGACCTCGTGAGGAAGATATTATTGAAGCTGTTGATTTTGGATTACAAGCGATGCATGATCTTTACAACGTTAAAGAACCGAAATTATATTCTATGGGTAAAATTAATTAACTATTCATTTGTATGAACAAAAAAACCTGTCATAATACCAAAAATGATAAAAAGTTTGGTTTTTTCAAATTTATAGGACTCTATCTGAAAGCTGACAATCCAGCAAAATACGTGGCAACATTCAATGATCAAACCGAAGAAGCTAGAACGCTTGCTAAATTTGGTTATGCAGTTCTCGAAGGCGCAACTATGTTTGTCAAAAAGTATATTCCTTTTTTGTCTCTCATCATCTTTATGACTAATAGTAAAGAATATTTAATTAATCGTTATTTAAAGGTTTCCCGATTTGTCGAGAGAACTTCCTCTTTCTCGTAAAGGTCAAACAACAAGATTGCAACGCCAATGTCCGAGAAGAGGAACTCCTCGATGTCCAGCAGCTAGTTTAAGATATAGAACTTCGGATGGAAGTTGTAATAATCTTAAGAATCCTTGGTGGGGATCAGCAATGTCAACTATGCAAAGGTTTAGAACTTTCGTCGTTTTCTGTTACGAATATTCACATTCTTGAAAGTTTGAATATATATTTAATATGTTCCTCTAATCGATTAGATTCTTACCACCGAATTATAATGACGATATACAAAGTATCAGAAGATCAAGAGACGGTAATCCATTACCAAGTGCACGTGTAATTTCTGACGTGTTACACGAAGATGAAGATATACAATTGGCATCTATTACGCATATGTTAATGCAATGGGGTCAATTCATAGATCATGATTTAACAGGTATATATATTCGATCGAACAGAATAATCATATTTTTATCAAAATCTAACATATCTTGTGTCCCTTTAAAGCAACTGGGCAAAGTAGAGGCTTCAATGGATCTGTACCTCAATGTTGTTTAAATTCGGGTCTTGGATTTCAACCTTTTGAATTATTGGTAAATTATAATATTTCATTTTAAACATATCATCTTATTCAGAAAATAAATATAATTCGTTTTTTGCCTTGGTATTTTAGCATCCAGAATGTTTACCAATAGCGGTAGACCCTCAGGATAGTTTCTTTAGTCGTTTTGGCATCAAGTGTTTGGAATTTCTTAGAAGTGGATCAGCACCAAGGGAAGATTGTCTATTTGGTGCTAGAGAACAATTAACTCAAGTTACGAGTTATTTAGATGCATCCACGGTGTACAGCAGCAATGCTTTTCAAAGTGACAATCTTCGACTCTTTAAAAACGGTAGAATGAAATTTTCAATCCAGCTCAAATTTAAAGATATTCTTCTTCGACGATAAGAATTATCTAAAAAAAAATTTCAGGTTTATTGCAATTCGGTATAGTTCAATCACGACAACCTTCACTCTTCAGACAAGATTCGGATCTTTGCAAACAAGGTTCTTTGTCAACGAGTTGTTTTAGAGCAGGAGATGGTCGTTTAAGTGAACAGCCAGCTCTAACTTCTCTACACATTGTATTTTTAAGGCTGCACAATAGATTAGCAATTAAGCTTAGCGAATTGAATCCTCATTGGAGAGACGAAAAAATATTCCAAGAAACTCGTAAAATTATCGGTGCGATTGTACAACATATTACGTATCGCGAGTTCTTACCAATCATATTAGGTAAATATTAATCAAATACTTTCTAACGAGAGATTTCTTTACAACGATATGTGTTATATTTTATTGGAATTTACAGGGAACGAGGTAATGAAAGTATTCGATTTAGAAGTCTTGACAAAAGGGTATTACGATGGTTACGATCCTTCTGTTAATCCTACTATAGCAAATTCCTTTTCAACAGCAGCTTATCGTTTCGGACATTCGTTGGTTCAGCATAGTTTCTTAAGATTTGACAGAAATCATCAATCTTTATTTAATAGTAAGATTATAATTTGATTTATTATCAATTGTATTGGGATCATCCTATTGATTTATTTCATTATTTTCATTGGCATTATATTTTGTTCATCAGATGTCTCAATCCACGACGAATTTAGAAATCCTGAAAATTTGGAAACTGGTTCGATAGACCGTCTTCTTTTAGGATTAGTGAACCAACCTTCGCAAAGAAGAGATGAATTTATAACTAGAGAATTGACTCGTCATTTATTTCAAACGCCAGGTTTCCCTTTCGGAATGGATCTGGCATCTCTTAATATTCAAAGAGGACGAGATCATGGTATACCACCATACGTTGATTGGCGAGAACCATGTGGCTTGTCTCCCATCAAAAGTTTTGCCGATCTTGAGAATATTATGAAACCTAATACTATATTTAAGCTTCGAACTTTATATTCTTCGGTGGAAGACGTTGATTTGTATCCCGCTGGATTAGCTGAAAAATCAGTTCGCGGTGGTTTAGTTGGACCAACGTTTGCTTGCATAATTGCACAGCAATTTAGTAATCTACGACGTGGCGATAGATTTTGGTATGAAAATGATAAAGAAGAAAGTGGATTTACTTCTCGACAACTTCAACAAATCAGACGTATCACATTTTCTCAAGTTCTTTGTCTTACAATGAATAACATTAAAACTATTCAACCGTTCGTTTTTCTAATAGCTGATACATTCAGAAATCAACGTGTTGCTTGCAATGATGAAATAATGACACAGTTCAGCCTTGAACCTTGGACTGAACAACAATCGGAACAAAGAAGTAAATCGGATGATTTACATGTATCAGAAAGAAAGAGAATTGATCGAATTCGTAGTACAACTAGCAGATCTGTTACAAATAGACAAGAAGGGACAAAAGAAAATGTTAAAAACAACGCGAGAGAACAAACGAAAGTTTTATCGCAAAAAACTAAACCCGTTAAAGCTAATATCAATCAGCATAATAGAATCGTCGTGAAAAAACCTTTCGGTCCACCAGATAACGTTACGATAGTTGTTCAAAATAATGCAGTTAATTCACCTGTTTTCGTTAATGATGCAATTTATGGTTCGTACATTCAAATACAAACTACTACTCAAAGTAACAAAGATATTCCTAAAAGGGAAAATTTCAATTATCAACCTAACGGACAATATAATCAATTATCGTATGATCAAGGGTCATTGAACATTCCTATTCATAGACCACCCCAAAAACCAATACCAACTTCAATTCCTGAAAGATTTGAAATTTCACAGAACATAAAACCATATGTCCCATATGCTTATAACGATCCTTACAACCCAAATCCTCTGAATTATGGTTACAGACCAAATTATAAACCCGAAGAAGACATTATTTACGACAACTTATCTCCTACAAGTCCAAGACCAACCTTATACACCTACTATATGCACGACCAACAATTGACAACTCCGCAAAGACCCATTCATCAAGACAAAAGTCACTCAAGTTATTACAATCCCTCTTACAACACACCATCTACAACGCAACATTATCAAGGAACAAGTCCATCACCGTGGATAAAACCTAAACCACAATTTGAGCCAAGCTATCAGTCTTACGCGCAGAAACTTAGCTCAGATATTATTGCTAATCCAAATTACAATCACAATGTAAACAACAGACCAGAATACTGGCCTCAACAAATACCAAGTACCATACAAGATGAGAATGTACATTCTACACAACCCGATTATAGCCATGTTCAAAGTAAACCCATTAACAAACCTTACAACAAAGATGAATCCGAAACTTGGAAATATTCGATTAATGTACAAAAAGACGATGGATATGCACTTTCTTCGAGCAGACCTTACAATGAACCATATGGCCCCCAAGAAACAAACAGCTATCAGAATAGACCTATAAATGTACCAAATAACGAAGATGATCCTGATATTTATAATAAGAAACCATTGGATACATCTTACCCGATAGTGTTAAATAAACCAAATGATCAAAATGGCTCAGAAAATCTATTAGCGAATGTGCAACCTTATCAAGAAGAAGCCATAAAAAATCCAATCCTTAGTAATCCGAGCAAATGGACCGATATTCCATCTTATCAGCCAAGACCGACCAAAAGACCCGATTGTACTCCTATATTCCATGAAGAATCATCGTATCAGAAAAGACCAATTAAAACGCCTACGATCGTTCAAAGCGATTTTAGTTCGACAAAAGTTCCACCATTATACCAAGTGGATTTATTTAAAAAGACTAGCTATCAGCAAAGACCTACCATAAAACCAGATAAATCAACGAGCAATTCCTTTTATCAAACCAATCCGTTGAACAATCCAAACAGCAAACCTTTTGCCAAAGATGATGATATCTCTTATCAAAGAAAACCAATTTCACATGTTTCTGTACAACATTCGACAAAAATTCCGACCAATGATGAAATTTTAAAACCGATTAAAATACAAAGTGTTACCATTGTCACGGAAAGTATCGAGACTGTTCGACATCCTGGATCTTCTGGTTATAGACCAGTAAATAAAATCAATGCAGAAATTCCGAGACCACTAGAACTTCGACAAAACGAAGGAAAACCTGGCCAGTACTATTACGATAAAAACGTTTTACATCGTTACCCCGAGAAAATGGAAGACGATATCTCGAAATATTATCATCATCATTTGGCGAAGGACGATGTTACTTACGGCGAGACAAGAGAAATCTTGGGAGAAAACGAAACCGTCGTTGAATTAAATTTCACTGATGTGCTTACAAAAGCTCAAGTAATTCAAAATGACGACACTAAATTTGTAACAACTCCTACTTTTGTGATCGATGATCCTGACAAGATTTACGCTAACGACGATCTCGACGGATCTTTCTCCGAGAACATCGAAAGTGTCACAACTTTAAACGATTTACAGAGGTACGTATTTGCAATTTGTTTCTATTAATGTATTTGACATTTATTTATTAATCGAACGATATATAATTGGCTTTTTCACAGAACAAATAATTGGCTTAATTCTGAAGAAAATCCAAGACTGTCGTCCATTTTGGAAATGCCTAATATTACATCCGAGGAAAACATCAGCTCCAAGGAATTGCCTAAGCCATTAATTAAAACCAGTAAATTAGCCTCTTAATTTACGTTTCACGGTAGTTTAGAAAGCTATTATTTCATTTTATTTTTTTTTTATTTTTTTTTATTATATATCGTTAACCATCATTACCTTCTCATACTATTTATTATCAGATTCATTATTTTCATTATGTTTGTATTTATTTTCGTAGACCTAGTTTTCTAGAGATAATTATAGCTTTTGCTTACGTGTCATTAGTAACACTTACGATCTCTCACGATCGTTTCTGTTAAATTGAAAAAGTTGACGAGACTTATCTACTACTATGTATACAATTTAAAAGAATCACAGGAGAATAAAATAATTATGTTAAGTAGATGGCTATACGAATGATACATAGAGTATGCAAACACGCATTCTACGTTAAAACGGAATGTAGCCTAGTTTTATTCCGCTTTTAAACTCAGCCGTCTATGTCTGGAGCATCTCTCGACTATTTTCAGATGCAGTTTCCAACCCGTTGCATTTCATCTGTCTTCTCGAATACCTCTTAAAATTCATCCCTCAAATCCTACGCACATTTATACATACGTATAACGTCCTGATTTTTAATTTCCTCAATTTTTTCTCTTTTTTTCTCTCTCTTTTTCATCGTCAAGCGACTTCTGATCTTTATTTCCAAACTTCGTAGATTTATTTAAATTTCAACGGTACGTTTCAAGATCCATAAACTGTCGACATTTCGAAATAATAAGTGAATAAAAATGTACCTTGTTTCGCTGCTACGATTGATAACTAATTGATAGAAGTTATTTTCCGATGTAGTTTTTTTGTGTAAATGTTTAATATCCTATTTCTTTTCCGTAAAGATTGAAAAAACACAAATAACATGAATAAACTCATATTTGAGCGAGTTAGGTCAATTAGAATCGTTGACTTGGAAAGAGGAAAGATCGTGATAATCTCTTGTGGATGGAAATCGAGTTCGTCGCTCGAATGGTTTACTTTTGACGACGGTTAAAGAAAAAACAAAAAGACAATGGCGTACGAAGAATCGAAATGTACTTTCGGATGTCGCGACCCGGATTTCAGAGTTCCCGATGTGTCACGCCTCGACTGAATTCGGAAATCGTAGAAAACGTGAGCTGAAAGTTACGAAGCTCGGTAAAATTTTAGCAAATATCAAAGAGATTCATTGTTCTTAAAAAAAAAAAGAGAGAGAAACAGAAAAAAGAAACATTCGTTTTCTACACAAACGTGTACTCTTTGTTCATAAACGATTTTTCGAATATGATCATTGTGGATTATATATATAATATATATATACATATAGTTTTCCTATATTTTATTAAAAGGAAAAAAGTTTATTGAACGTAATTCAATTGATATTTCAGTGTCGTAATACTACTTTTCTCGCTTAATTATACAGTATTGTTTTTATTTGCGATAGGATCTCTCCTTCATGCTCGATTTAATGAGTCCGCGAGTCAGATTCTTTTGTGAAAGTTTACACATTTAAGCATAAAAAAGAATGCATACAAAGTAAATATTCCTCCAAACGGTCTCTATAGATTGAAAATTATTTTTCATTATTGGTTGAAAATAATTAGTTATAATCCGATCGGGATAGCATTAATTTGAGCAGAAATGATTAACATGTATATTTGTTTAGTTTCATTTCTTTGATTTCAAATATTCCTTTGTATTCAAGTATACGTTCATTAAAAAACGAGGTACGTACAAATGAATTCTTCAAACAATAAAGAAATTGAGTGACGCATTCATTTTAACGGCAACCGAATTAGAATCTTCTCATTCTTGGTTCTCACACTAATTTACGTGAGACTACGATGACGATAATGCTCAACAGACATGCTTTCCCTTTCCACGGTGTTGCGTCTTTATTATGTGAGAAATATGTAATGCAGCATCATGGTAGTCTATCATTGAGATAATTGGAGTATAATAGCGACTAACGTCGAAAGTACATAAAGAAAAGAACATTATATCTTTCGCCAAGACGAAACATATTAATTACTTCAAATTTGTCCGTACAACACAACATTTTATAATGAAAAAGAATATTTCATAAAAATATATAGTGTTTAGATAAAAATTCGTATTAAAAATATTATCGAGTAAAAGTTCGAAGATAAACAAAATTCTAATACAAAAATCAAGTATATCATAAATATATACATATATATATATATATAATCAAATTTTATGTTACATTACTCAAACTGTGAATTCTATAAATATGAAACTACCGCGTGCACGACTCGACCGGTTAGGAAGGAAGGATAAAATACGACTAGATGGCGTTCATTGGAACGTTAGAAACGAGTGGAACCGAAGCGAGTGGAACCGACGAGAGATATGTATAATGGAAGGAGTGGGGGTAAGCGTTCCGAATTTCGGTCGTTCCGCTAGTCGGCGCGAAGCGAGCGTCGATCAGTCGGTAGCGACGCGTCCCGGGCGCAAGTCGCTTCATTAGCGATGTTGTTTAGTGTTTCTCGCGACTGTGGCCTTCGGGCAAACGTTCGCGATGCTGTTCCTTGTCATCATCCCCCGTTTCGCGCTGCCATTGGCACTCTCGTCATTCTTATTCTTATATCTTTGCAACCGGCTTTCTCGCAAGAAAGTCTGGCGAATCGTATGAGAGTGATCAGCGAAGATCTCGATCGACAATTGAATGATATTATGGCATCACAAGCTGTTAATTATACCACCGTCAACACGACAGGACTACCCTACAACGCCACCACAAAGTTCAATCCTAAGGGAATGGGACAGCTTTACAACGTCACCAACATGTTCATCGATGTTGTTCAAAGTAAACAGGCTTATCCAGAAGGTAAATCAAGTTATATTTATTACATACATACATACATATACATATATACCCATATGTCTTTCTCTGTCTTTCCCTTAGTCTGCTTTTGTCTCTCTCTCTCTTTCTTTCTTTCTCTTTTTGTGTCTCGTCCTTTCCCCTTCTATTCATCTCTCCCTCTTTCTCTCTCTCGTTCGCGCGCACGCACAAGCACGCACATCATCAGACGAAGCAACACTCTCCACCTACGCACATCATCGCCCTGTTTTCATCCTTTCCTCTGTCTTCTTCCGTTCATGCTAACGAAATATGAGACCTCCTCGTTGTTAAAGCTTGAATATATTTTTTAAATTTAAAACGGGAATAAATGAAATATCTTAGGATTCTTAGAAAAGTACGGTTACGCCCTGCGCCGCCAGGGTCGCGGGAAAATGGCCGGCAGCTTGTTGGTAAACAGATCGCTGTCAAACGACCTTTCATTCCACGATAAAAAAGAATCTCTTTTGTTTTCTCTCTTTATCTCTCTTTTCTCTTCTTTCTCTCTTTTTCTTTTTATTTTGTACTTTGTTTTTATGTACTAAAGATTCATTATCTCAAGATAATTACATGCAGCAGTAGCAGGAAGAAATTCGATCGATATGTGTATTTTGAACGAATTTTTCCTGGACTATATGAATTCATAGGTTTTCCTATTAAATTCATCTTTAATAGAACAAATGTGCTTTGCTTTTTTATTTTGACTTTATTGGATATTCTTGATTTTTCGGTTTTATTGATGGTTCTCTTTGTTTTGAGTTTCGTTTCATATACATATATACGTGTGGGTAGTAACCAAAGTGTCGTTCGACCATTATAAATACGACGATTCCATTTGAGACTCATATTTATCAAATGATTTTTATATAGATAAATTATTATTATTATTATTATTATTATTATTATTTTTATTTTTATTTTTACTTCTATTATTATTATATAATGTCAACACAAATCATTAAATATAATTAATAAGCTATGCCAAACATGCTATATTTAAATATCTCGAATATATATTCGACCTAGCAACACGTATATGCAGGTCGAATAATTGGATAGCAAATCATTGCAACTACGAGGAAAGAATGATTGAAATGATAATAATGTCAGTGTACAGATTTTCGATAGAAGTCAAACATCGATGATAGAAAAAAAGCAAACTTTTTACTCGTCAAATATACGTGCTGGTAATTAAACAAGTGTAATTATAAAAGTAATTATAAAATAAATTTATTAACACGTTCGCGGACGTGAATGCTATAGCATTCATTTTCATGATGATGCAGAATGACATGAATGCTACAGCATTCAAATCTTAAAGTCAATTATTTTTAAAAATAAAATGACTGTCAATTTTTGCACCTCGCTGAAACTTTTACTGTCCGCGAACGTGTTAATACTCTCTAATAATTAGTACAAACGTATGTATATAGTACGTACTAAGTTATATACTATTTCGTTTCTAAAAGAAAAAGAAAATACGAAAAAAGAAAATGTCAACTAACGTCTACGAAATTAATTCTATTTCTGTCATACCATATTAAGCTTTTCTCCAATCGTAGGGCAACGTCCATAGAGCAAATACTTGAACCAGTTCTGAAAGAACCGGATCCCTGTCTACTGCCTGCTTTTACGAAATATCATATCTGTTGTGTCGATATCTTACAAACGAACAAATGAACGAACGGATAAAGTTATTTCTTGATTATTACGTTACACATTCCTTATACAACAGAAATACGTAATAATATCGTAATATGATCTTAATTTAAAATAGTATTAGAATATATCGAATCAATCGATAATTATCAGTGAATGATAAAAATGTTATCTAGGCTTTTCAAAACTTGTTACTTTCATATATTCTATCTCTGATAGATTTACTTTCTCTCTCTTTGTCTCTCTCTCTCTCTCTCTTTCTCTCTCTTTCTCTCTTTTCTTTACATATTTTCTCTTTCTTCTTCTGGATAGTCAAGCCGTTAGCTCTCGTTTTTTTCGTCTGCAACGTCGAGACAAGTACATCAACCTTATGGGATTTTTCGAAGGGAGAGAAAGAAAAAAAAAGAAATAAAGAAAGAGAGAAAAGGAGATGTATATTATATGTACATACATATATACGTTTTTTTTCGTACGCGATTCATCCGGCGTGGTAGGGGGGAAACCATGCAACTATATTTGCAAGTCTTTTAAATTTCTTTCTTTCACCCCTCCCTTCCCCTATTCTTTCTTTCTTTCTTTCTTTCTTTCACACTTTATTTGAACTTTATTTTAAAAGTCTGGCGAGATAACTGAATGCAATGCTCTTTTTAGTTGGATCAACGACCCGTACGCGTGTTAAATATATGAGTGTGAGAAGGAAAGATAGATCATCACTCCTCTCTCTCTCTCTCTCTCTCTCTCTCTCTCTCTCTCTCTCTCTCTCTCGTTAGTATGGTTCACGTCTAGCAGGAAGTTGATAGT